CTCTTCAGGATTTCAGTTCACTTCTGTTCTGTTCCATAGCCTCAACGGCTTCTCCTTGCTTCCGCGGCTTCCCAAATCTAAAAGCTCTACCCGAACCCCAAAGTCTCATGTCAGCGAACTTTGGGCAAGATCCTCCTCCTTTTTGAGCCCCAATGTAACCCCAATACAACCCAACTATAAGCCCAATATGACCGTCATGTCATGGTCCTTGGGCCCTGCTCCCTATACCTCAACCGATACACCCGAGACTCAGACTTGAAATCGAGTACGCATGCGAAAGGATTCAACCCTATATCCTAAACCCTGGCCTACACAGTTTAGGGTGTTGGGTTGAACAAGCCTGACCTACAGCCTTAGAGAGCCTTTAAGGAAGGACCTCAGCACGCGCACTCAGAAAGCATTGGCCGACGCCAACGCCGTCGCAGATGCCTGTCCCAACTGCAATGGTACAGGGCTGATCGATATTGTGAAGATTATGGTCCTGGTCCGGGCACCTACTATGTACTGGGCTTTTGTTAAGGGACTTAGATTAAGTTACATGCGTGTATATATATATATATACATAGAGTAAGTAATAAGGTTTCCCGAATAAAGTCACTTAAATTCAATTCCTTAGCAGCAACCCAGTATAAGGAAAACAAGCCCCCTTCTATTTAGAATGGTGTGCCCCAAATTCTGAAACCCTAAGCTCTAAACCCTAAGCCCTATAAACCTCAATCGCAGTGGTTTGCTTGAAGGGATCCACGTTTCATACTTCAAGGGCCGACGACATGCCGAAAGGGTTGACAAGCCCCAAACTTCAAATGCCTGAGATGTTCAAGGATGAGAACCTGGCGAACATGTCCACCATCAGCTACCCGGATTTTGACAAAGGGGGTATGGAGTTCAGGATTTAGGGGGTTCAGGGTTTAGGGTTAGGGGGTTTAGGTGTGTAGGGCTTAGGGTCTAGCGTATGTTGTCCTGAGGCAGTGTAGCGGATTATGTGGGGTTTGGTATTGGGCGAATCCTAGCGCGCTCACGCCAAATGGTGGCTTCTGCAGAAAACAGTCCCCGATGCCTCACAATAGGTTTGGCTAGCAAAGGGATCGTTTGCATGTACCCTCCCCAAACAATGAAGATGCAACCCAACCTCATATAGGCCCCTGCCAATGATGCTTTCCAAAGCGCAGTGTATGAAACGTTGGCATCAGGTGCCTTCTGATAATTCAAGGGTTCAGGGTTTAGGTATTCAGGCCAGCTTCCACATGTTGCTCATATGGCAGCTTCCCCAAACAGGGGGGCTCCAGTACGGACCCCACAATGTTCTAGTCCTTATCATAGGGATCCCCCCAACATTAGAGCCCTTTTTTTTGGGAACCCCCACCCCCCCCCCCCCCAAATCTTGCATATGTGGCAGGATTCTGGCTTCCGGCCTCCAAAGTTTATTCCACCAAGTAGATGCAAACAACAATATGCCCAGGGAGGTTTCTACATACTACTGTAAAGCTTACAGTTTGGTTTCCATGTCTGCCTGGCGGTATAAGCCTTAGAGCCAGCCCGTTTGAACCTGAACCGGGGCTCTTGTGGAGGAAGTTTTGCTGCTGAACATCTGGAGAATGGGCGTTTCTTCCTTGCCATGGAGGGTTTCAGGAGACTCTGCTGAGCGTTGGGTATGCCCAGACCTCCCAAGTACGCAGGATGATTGCTTACACACACACACACACACGTACATTATCTTGGGGTTAAAGGCAATTGTGCTGTTTTTTTTTGGAGGTCTAGGTAGGCGTTCACCTTGAGGGGTGTAGAGGCGAATGGGGCTTCAGGATCTAATTTTGGCGGGCTGCTTACAATCAACCAGAAGCCAAGTTGCCATTTGAGCTGTAGTCTAAACTCCTTAAAGGGGGATATATAGGGGATTATATATGGGACTATTATAGGGGTCATTAAGGGGGATACTAGGAGTTTAGACTATAGCTCATTTGCCTGTAGGGTTTCGGGTTTCGGGTCTAGGGGTATGCAAAAGTCACTGAAACATCCGCCTGGACACCTGGAACTGTTTGTGTGGTCATATCGACTGAACGGAATGAGGGCGCAAGACAGCATACCACTCCACTATTTTTGCCAGGTCATATCGACTGAACGGAATAACGGAATGAGGTCGCAAGACAGCATACCACTCCACTAATTTTGCCAGGTTTACGAGCCAGCAGGCATCAACAACATGAAGGCAACTCCAAACATCCATTTTAAAATTAGGTGGAAGCAAAAGACTGGGAAACTAATACGATATTTCCCGATCGTTTTGGATTTGTTAACTTGGAGCGCACTCACTCTACTTGAGAAGAACTGTAGCCCAAACATTCCTGTGTACAGGGTTGCCGCCGAAGGCCCCTGAATGATATTACCATACTCCTTTTGCAGTAATACTCTCTATATTCATTGGCAGTTTCCCTAGTTTCCCTAACTAGCGAGACCCTGACATAGACCCCAATATATACATATACATATACATATATATAACTCCTGTTTGTGGGACCATTCAAGAGGGATCCCTAATTTGTGGAAAGCTTAAGCCCTATGAACCTCTACATAATCCATTGAGGTTCTCTTTTTCTTGTTGATTTGATTCTCCACTATTGGGCTACCATAAACCCCAAGAAAAGGCAGACCCTGAACCTTAACGTCAACCCAGTACACGGTGAGCAGGAAGCTCGTCAATCATCGAGCTGCCTTCTACCTTGTCTACCTTAGTTCGGCCATGATGCTCCCGCAGGCAGCAGTTAAGGTTTAGGGTTTAGGCTTGAGGGTATGATTAGGGTTTCCGATTTAGGGTTTAGTACTGACCCTAAACTCTAAACCCTGAGGGTTTAAGGTTTCAGGCTTCAGCATCTGGGGAGTTAGGCTTTAAGACTTGGGGACGGCTTTTTCCATGGAGCTAGGTAAACTGGGTAGGACCAAGCGGGGCGACAAAACAAAAGTGAAATGGAAACTGGGGAGTTTAGGGTTTAGGGTCATATAGGGGGTATGCAGGGAGTCAAGGAGCTTTACTTAAGGTGCTTGTAGGAAACCGAATTTTCGTAATCATGTATCTACAGTACGGCAGCTCAGTTCAAGCTGCTTAATTAGGAGCAACCAAAGTAATGTCAACCACATCGTCAATATTCTGTATCGTTTCCCGCGTCTGCCTAAAGAGCAACAAACAATAGAATGCGAAGAAAGGACCCCTGCAAACCTGATGTAGCTTCTCTAAACCCTCAACCCTCCACCCTAACCCCTGAACGACTGAACCACCAAATCCCCAAGCCCAAAAGCCCTCCATCCTAAATCCCCAACCCTTAAGCCCTCACAGCTTTCAACTCTCTACAACTTAAACCCTAACACCCCCCAAATCCTAGCCTGACCCTTATACCCCCCCCTCTACCCTAAACCCCCTATACCCTAAACCCTCTATCCCTGAAGACCCAGATCCTTCTAGGCGGTTACCGCCCTGGTCCTCTTCTACGGTGGCAAGCTGGCGATGACCGGCGAGATGCAGGCCACGGCTATAAGGTGTAGGGCTTAGGGATTAGAGCTTAGGGCTTAGGGTTCAGGGTTTTGGGTTGGGGGTTTAGGTTTAGGAATTAGCGTTTAGGGTTCAAGTTTTGGAGTTCAGGGTTTTAGGGATATGACAACCCCTAGACCCTAACTGTGAAAACATAATGTGGAAACATGGTGACTGCCTAGAAACCGAACCGGTACTTGAAGGCTCAGGGGGGCTTCGTAAGTAGGTCAATAGTGGGGATAGCTGGGGCTACCATATGGCTTATAGGGGCTATAAATTGTGTGCATACTTGCTGGCTACCCCTGATCCTAAACCTAAATACTACATAGTAGTTTGCGTTTTCTTTTGCAGTCTTAGCCGCTCCACTGCCCCTCCAAGTATGACTGTCTAGCCTGGCCGGCGCAATCCCAGTTTTGATTTCATCTTCCATTGTCTTTTTCTCTTAGGTTCTCCAGTATTGACTTACGTAGGAGTTCAGGGCTTATAAGGGGCAATGTACGCCTAAAACCTGAGCCCTAATCCACGCCCTTTGCGTTACAAGGGGCTGCATGACTTATCCTGTCAACGGCCCTCAAAAAGCAAACAACTTTTTTTTTGGCTACAAGGACATTTTATTACCCATGTTATGGTAATGGGTTTCGAGCTCCTTCATAGTAACCCAGTAGGGCATCAGCGGCCGGAGCCCAAAACATTCGAGATACTTGTATCAGGAGTCAGGTTCACAATAATCACTTCCCCCCAAGAAGACAGCTGCCGCTAATACACAATGGCACTTTCTTGTGAATGTGTCTTTTTATTGGGTGGAGGGGGCTTGGTGGTGGTGGTGGTGGTGGTATTGAAAACACCACGTTCAGAACAGGCCCCGGGTTGCTTTAGAGAATGGTTTAGGGTTTAGGTTGGGTCATTCCCCCTCCCAGTAACTTAA